GGCAAGCTGGCTATTTTTCTACCAAGATCCACCTTTACCCAAACTTTAATCAATTTTTTCAAAGGTGACCCTGCTGCTAAATTGCTTTCAGTCAATTGCCAACTTGGGTATTTTATTTTCCGAAACTGGAGATTTGAATTAACATTGTACAAAGCGCGTTTCAAATCAGTTTCATTTTTGAAAAGGACCCCAGTTATTTATTTTGATCAATGGGTTTAGGGAAGAGCTTTGGCTTAACAGCACCCCTGTTATCTATATCTTATCTATCTATTGTAAAATTAATCCTCTTAGAACTCTAGCATCTGTTTAATGCTTATCATCATTTAGAATTACCTTAATATAGCATGATGAAAGTCAAGATTTGTGATTTATATTTATTTCATACTCTTTTAAACATAGTGTTTTTTTTGTAAATAACATAAGTATATTCCTTTGATACAGCCTTCATCTATAAAGCCAGGGTTTTTACTAGTTCATTTTTCATATATATACCATTGTAGATGCATTTTTATATATACATATATTCTGTCTGCCTGTCATGTATGTTATCTATCTAACACTATCTGTCTATCTATCTATCTATCTATCTATCTGATATTGACGTGCGCAAAGTGTTACAATAACCTATCAATCATCTATTGATGTATCTTTCTATTATCTATCTATCTATCTGATATTGACGTGCACAAAGTGTTAGATAGGTAGATAAATAAATGATAGATAGATAGATAAATTATAGATAATTCTTACAAAGATTAAATACATATATATATATATATATATATATATATAAAGAAAAGATAGATAGACATACAAAAAAAACCAATAGATACGCTGATAGCTCATGAGAAATGACATTGTTTAAATGACATTAAGTGAGATAATTTGGCATTATTTCCATTGCTTTTCAGATGCGTAACTTTGTCTTGTAAATGAGGATATTGATTGGATACAATAAAAACTAAAACATGTAATATTTAATGTGATGAGTCATTGAAAAACAAAGAGAAATATATTTTAAAACCTTGTGTATTTTACAAATATTTATATATTCTTGATTTTAAAATAAATTAACTTATTGCTTATAAATATGAAATATGTATCAGAGCTATGCATATTTTGTAAATCTTTGTAATTGTCTCGGTTTCTGTAATTTTTCATAATACCTTTTCAGAAGTAAATCCACTAAGCATTAATTATACCAACATCTCATGTACAAAGCCATTAGAAAATGTATTATTTAAAGAGTACAATGTTATAAGACAGAATGAAAAAAAATCTTATTATTGTACATAGAGAAGTGAAATTGTGAAAATACAGTGCAAAAAACGTACATATAATCGTATGTAGTGTTACACAATATCATTAAAAAAGAGTAAAACAAAGAAATATTAAACACAATCAATTCATTTAAAATTAGTTTCCTAGTTTTTCTTAGTACATACCATTATAAAATATGTTTACAATCAATAACGTTCATATTTAAATGTTAAATAAATTATATTCTTTCAAATTACACTTTTATGCATATTTGAATTAAAAAATATCCACAAATAACAACATATGCCTTTCAAATAATAAGTGTTCTGATATATGTGTGTGTTTATGTGTGTGTAACAGATGAAATTAGTTTTTTTTAGTCCAATAAAAAAGGTATTACAAGCTGTATTTGATATATATATATATATATATAAAATATTTTTGGTTAAAAACATTTATTACACTATGGGATAACACAATTGATATATGTTAATATAAACATATATATATGCATGTGTTTGTATATGTGTATATATATATATATATATACACCTTTTTATGGGACTAACATAATATTTAAAAGACAAGCTTTCAAGGGTTTTCCTCTCTTCCTGAAGCAATATAAATCTGATAGAGTTTAACTGTTAAAATGACTGATGTTTTATCAAATGAAAATAAAAAATAAAAAATCAAATCAGGGCATACAAATATAAAGCTGAACACACACACACACACACACACACACACAGACACACACACAAACACATACAAATATAGATATACATATACATGAATTGATCAAATTCAATCTACACTCTCTCTCTCTCTCTCTCTCTCTCTCTCTCTCTATATATATATATATATATAAAACAAACTCATGCAGATATGCGTAAACATAAATTGTGTTATCCAATGTAATAAATGTTTACAACCAAAAATATTTGGCAATATAGGAAAAGCAGCAATATTTTTTGCTAGTCTCTCCTTCTCTCTTTCTGTATCTCTCTCTGTCTTTCTCGCTCTATATACTCTATATACAAACAAATATTTGATGAATAACACTCTCATTATTGTTCTCTGATTATTCAGATTTCTTTTAGTTAGAACATTAAAGTGTTTCTTTTTTTTCTGTGAAAATGTCTTCTTTTGAAGACTCGGCTGACAGAAAATCATTCAGATATTTCTATCCCATGTAAATACTGCTCTGTAAAACCTCCTGGGGAGTATAGTCAGAATTCTGACAATAATGATGGCTAAAGAAAATAACTATGTACCGCTAATAATTTTTCATGATTTTTACAGTCATTTTATTCCATTCTTTAATATCTGAAATTTTCCAGAAAATTTATTATGTGCATCATTTTATCTTAAATATACATCAAATACATTTTCTTGTGTATTAATTGTATATATATATTTTTTTATTTAGAAGGACCGCATATATTGACGTATTTCATTGTCCCTGAAATTCAATAGTTATTTAATAAGCAACATTGTTGTATAAAAGCGTAGATTGAAAAATATAATGGTTTGATGGTGTGAAATTAATATCAGAAATATTATATTTATAATTTTCATTAAATGAATGGAAAAAAAACCCAGACTTTATTTATCTTAAAAAAAAATAAAAAACAGTTAGAATGTTGCACTGAATTAAAATGAGACAGGTGCAGTAAAGCACATTCCCCATGGTTCTTTCAATCTAGTGCAAGATGCAGTTACATGGTGGGAAAACAACAGGATTCAGTTTTTGTTTTGTAGAAAGACTTCTGGTAATTAAATGGAAATGGTTTTGGTCACTGTCAAATAACACTGATGCTATTTTACTATTTTACACAGACAATAATTGCGTATATATAATGATCTAATGATCTTCTGATGTATATGATAAAAATATATATGTTTATGATGTAAAATAGAAAATATCTATATTTATAGACACACAATTATCTATCTATCTATCTATCTATCTATCTATCTATCTATCTATCTATCACTATTATATTCTGTAAATAATAAGTAATGAAAATAGCTCAATTGAGAATACAGTGAGTTGGAGATTCTATTATATTCTTTTACTAAATTATATGCTAAATTGGCCTAAATTTTGCTTATTCATTCTCCCAATTTAATATTTTTTGTTAATAAATCCTTATGATTGTATGTATGTAATGAGAACCAAAATGAGTACAAAAATAAGCTGTTTGAAAATTATTTTAAGTGCATTTAAGTATTATGTGACAATGCTTTTTAAATATTTTAATATTTTCTGCTATGCCTCCATTCTAATAAATTAACCTTAATATGCTTGTTTAAATACAGATCATTCTGCTTAGTACTCACTAACCAGTAGTTAATGATATGTTTGACCTTCACACAAAACATTAAATGGTTTTAAACAAAGTGAAATATTTATACAAGTAGAGAAACCAAATTAGACCAGCTGACGTTGCTAAGCCAACGTAAAGGGATAGAAATTGACACATTTATTAATGAACTATGTTACACACCCCCGGTTGTCAATCAGACAACCGGTCCTGTTACTTCCTGGTTTGGTTAGCTCAGTGGAGCAAAACTCAAGATGCAGCAATTGCTCAGAGCACCTTCCTTGCAAATACTTCCCATTGAGTTGCATTGGGAAGTCTGTGATTGGACAGTCAAAGAAAGTCTGGACTGAGGAAGAAGGGGAAGGTGTCTAAAGGCTGTAGACAAAAGATCTGCAGCTTTTACGAGCTGTTTTTAGTTATACCCCAATGAAAATGCATTATTACATGCATGAATATTTTAACTTGGGGTATATCATAGTGATTAATAGGACATAAGAGTTTCTAACAGGAGGTTTATATATTAAAAACTCACTAATTTGCAGTTGCTTGTACAGCAGTACAAATAACACTATAATAATATTTCTATTTTGCAGGACACTGTTTGGCCAGTTTTGACACCATTTTGGTTGTATGCTAATTTGGACTGGACCAGATGCATTCAGTGTTTGATTTAAAGTCACAGATTTCAAACTAAATTGGAGAGTATTAAATGTCATCAGTGGGTTGACATACAATTGTGCACAACCCCAAAATGGTGGTCAATCTTCCCTGCCACCCCCCCCCCCCTCACCTGGTGGCAAGAGGTCCCCAAGCACTTAGATCCCAGTGTTAAGCTGCCATCTACTAACACACCATATGTACCTGTTTGTTGATATGCATTTGCATGCCACAAACATTACATGTGTTATCCTGTGGTTGATCACTCTTATACAAAGCTTATAATGTGTTTGTACTTCTGTGCTTCAATCAACATGTAACCTATGATACATAGTCAGCTTTCACTCCATGTTGTTAAATGCACTAGTGACCAGTGGTGTACCTACTAGGGTCGCAGAAGTTGCAGTTGTGACCAGGCCCGTCACTCCAGGGGGCCCGGCCGCAGTTGCGACTCCTGAGACCCCTGCAACCCATGCGACCACAACTATAGGGCCAGTTCACCACCGCACTGGCCCGGACCCGCGGTCGCTGGGTGACTGGCGGGACTGGAGCGCTGTGCTGCTCCCCTCCTTCCGTTCTCTCTGTGTGTAGCACGGCTGAGCATCTCGGCTGACAGGAAGTGCTCACTGAGAGAGCACTTCCTGTCAGACTGGGTACTTCTCCGCCACGCTACACACAGACATAACGTACAGGGGAAGAGTGGGGATAGAGGGATTGAGTGGTGGATGGGGGTTTAATGAGGGCTGGAAGGGGTGGTGAGAGAGTAAGGGCTGGATGGGAGAATGGGGGCTAGTGAGGGCTGGATCAAACAAGGGTTTTGGATCCATCCCTCACAAACCCCCATTCCCCTATCTAACGCTCATTAGCCCCCTTCACTCCCCATCCAGCCCTCTCTCTCACCCCCATCCAGCCCTTAATCCCTCTCTCAGCCTCCCCATTCAGCCCTCACTCTCTCACAAGCCCTTCCAGCCCTCATTAAACCCCCCCATCCACCACTCAATCCCCCTGTCCCCACTCTTCCCCTGTACCTTATATCTGTGTGTAGCATAGCTGAGAGGTACCCAGTCTGACAGGAAGTGCTTTCTCAGTGAGAGGGGGGTTAATGAGGACTGGAAGGAAGGTGAAAGGGGTTAATGAGGACTGGAAGAAGGATGAGGGGGGTTAAAGAGGACCGGAAGGAGGAAAATGAGGGGGTTAATGATGGCTGGATGTGGAGTGAGAGATGGAGATAAGGGCTGGATGGGGAGTGAAGGGGGTTAATGAGGGTTGGATAGCGGTGAGGGGGTTAATGAGGGCTGGATGGGGGTGAGAGATGGAGTGAGAACTGGATTTGGGGAGAGGGGGGATAATGAACCCCAACCCTAACTCTAATGAGGGCTGGTTGGGGGTGAAGGGGGTTAGAGGTGGTGAAATTAGTCAAATGGGGGCTAGGGGAGGAGCGGGGAAATGAGCCATGGGGTAGTTGAGAGGGAGAGAATGAGACTCGTGATGGGGCTGGTGGGAGGGAAGGAGACACATGGGGAGGCGGGGGAAGAAAATTAGACACATGGAGGAGCTGGGGGAGGGAATGAAACACATGTGGGGGGGTGGGAAAATTGGCCCGGTGGTTTCTTGTTACGCCTCTGCTAGTGACTATCACGTATCTCCATTTAATTCACTACTTTGACTTTCTCCAACACAAAATACATTTTGTGTGAGGAGATTCTTTCTTTTTTCTTGCATCTCACACATTGCCGTTGCATCCCACAAGTACCTGCTTGCTATTTGTGTTTCCACAGCATCAAATAGTGACCACAAGGGACTACACGTTTAACACCTTAAGGATGGTGGCAATTGTCTACGTTCTGAACCAAAACAAAACCTTGAATTTGAGCTATAGGTTTATTCCACCTCTTGAAGTACTCCCATACATATTATATTTCATTTTTTTTTAAACAGAAAGGGCTTTCATCTCACATATTATATGTATATCAAACACAACATTATATGGCACGTGAAAATAAAATGTTAAATATGGGGGGGGAATTGTTTTTTTTTTTGCTTATAATAATTTTTTATTCATATATCAATCTTTATTGTTAAATGCCTAATATGTTCAGGATCCAAGTTAATTTTTGTTAGTTAAAGGAACACTATAGGGTCAGGAACAGAAATTTGTATTCCTGACCCTATAGTGTTAAAAACTGACCACCTCTTAAACCCCTCAAATACATTAAAAACTAATCTTTATTCCATCGCCGCATGAGTTTGCCGGCACTTGTCCCTCCCCTGATCCACCTCATTGGATCACATCATCAGAATTAATTACCTCAACTAATCAAACATTGTGTTGACTGAGATCGTCAATTTTGAGGATCTCAGCCAAATAGGCAGGTGGGGTCGGATAAAAGAAAAGGTGATTTGCGCACACAGAAGTGAATGTGGAAGTTACCTTACACTTAATTTTTTAGGTAACCACTCAACAGGTTATTCTCAAAAACCTATATACAGATAAATGAAGCACACATAGTGTAAACCATATATAAAAAATAATAATATGAATGAGGTGTTTTTCAAACTCACAATTTTCAGAGCCTATTGAAAGTTGGCTCCAGACTTATTGCGCTTGTCATTTCATTGTCATTTCTTGAGCTATATAGTGAAATTGCAACAGGCCCACCCACAGGAACTCTGTACTGTTAAATTGCAGCAAACTCCAAAGTCCAGGGTAGGTACGTATAAAAAGGTTTTTATTTACAAAATGTCTGACATATATAAAGTCAATAGGGCTGAGTCCCAGGTCGGTATTCATCCGGTCATATTTAGCTGAAATATCATGTGATACTGGCTTGCGATACATCACTTCCTGTGACGTATGTGGAAGTCAATCCAAAAGGAATACAAGGCTTCTTGCAGTGGATAGGAACATCCATTTTTCGTGAGGTGTCGAGGTGTTGTGATGCCAACTTGCGATACGTCACTTGCTGTGACGTATGCGGAAATTCTTTTAACACTCTAATGGAGTTTCGAAACTTCGTTCAATACACTGGAGCATCCATTTTTAGTAGGGCAATTTGCCATCAGTTCATGTTGTAAAAAGACAAGAAACATAGGAGGAATAAACAAAATATAATAATGTTATATGTAAACATTTTTGTAATAAAATCTTTTTTGTGTATAAATACAATGCTTATTCGTTTATAAAACCCTTTTATATTACACACAGTGCAACCAGTATATCTATCTATAAGAGGAAAGGGAAAAGGGTGAATTAACTTTCAGATGAATTGTGAAATAGAAGTTTCAAGGAGGTTCCATGAATTACAACATAGGTGGGGTCAGAGCGAAACACCTCCCTGGCCAATCAGCATCTCCTCTATGGGAATAATTAAGCACTCCATGCAGATTATAGAGACACTGCACATCATGTGCAGCACTGATCCAGGATACACTTCTGGTGGCCGTCTGAGTGAGGTGTCTCTAGGCAGCAGTGTAAACATTGACTTTTCTCTGAAAAGACAGTGTTTACAGCAAAAAGCCTCCAGGGACTGACTATACTCACCAGAACAACTACATTAAGCTATAGTTATTCTGGTGAGTATAGTGTCCCTTTAATACTAACCCCACACCAACTTTCACACTAACTCTATACTAACCAAAAACCTTACCCAACATTTACACAAATTCTAACTGTATGCCAACCCAATTCTTATCATTATCCTCAACCTTATGCTATATTTAATCCTAAAACAGCATGAACCCAGTATTAACCCTTACCTTATCCTAACCATACATAAACCCAACCCTACCCTAACACAAACTGTAACCCTACCCTACTATTAAAATTAAAGCTAATCCTAACCCCACCATTAACCCCAACCCTAACTCTAACGTAACCCACTGCTAATATAATTATACATTTTGATATGAGAAATGTAGTCAGTGATTGCCATCTACTGACCGTTTTCGGGATTACAGAGCTCATCGGTTAGTATGGGATCACTAAAAATGGCCCCAGCTGATTAACAGGAGCACCTGGTATCCATTAATATTTTGGGTTAGTAGAGTGAGCTGGGATTTACCCATGCTCACCCTGCAATAAAGTTGAAGGCATTAAAACTTTTAAATTCAAGTGCTGCAAGGAGCTTATCTAAACGTTTGCGGCTACTAAAAATGGCCAAGCAGACAGAGTGGTGCCCCAGGTATTCATTGATAGTTGGGACTCCCTGATGTGAGCAGGGATTTAATCCAGCCACTTTATGCCATCTTGCAGGCACTTAAGCCCACTCTGTGTAGTACACAATAGAACATCCTAACATCGTTTAGGTTAAAGGCCAGTACACACCTCTGTATGCTACATATTCTGAATCCATAGCCCTTGTTTGATTTCATATCACCCATGATCACCATTAGATAAACCTGTCAGATCCTCAGTATAGGGACACCCAGAAACACACACATATTCAATTAAATCATTTGGCCTCTTTAACCTTAGGCTATTCACTATTTTGAGACCAACTCCATGCCTCTCTCATAAGGTTTTCATTTCTCAGTTGAACTCACAGGTTGAGCCTCAAGCAATCTGCCTCTAAACCCTTAGTAAGACCAAACCAGCAATAGCTACTCACTGAACCTGTCCAAAACAGAACTTCTGGTCTTTCGTCCCTTAAGTGTTGCTACTCCCGTGTCTGTCTGTCTCCAAGTCAATGGCGCTACCATCACCTCTACCTCACAGGCTCACTGCCTAGATGTTTTCTTTGACTCTGACCTCTCCTTCACTTCCCATGTCCAGTCGATCTGCAAATCCTTCCGCTTCCATCTCAAAAATATAGCGTGCGCCTGTCCCTTTTTAATGCTTGATGAGGTTAAGGTGCTGGTCCATGATGTTGTCCTCTCTTGCCTTGACTACTGGAATCTGCTTCTCAGTGGTCTTATGTGTTCTCAACATGCCCTGTTACAGTGTATAACAAATGCGTCGGCGAGGCTTATTTTCCTGTCTGCCCGCATCTCCCACTCTTCTGTCAGTCCCTACATTGGCTTTCTGTAAGATATAGGGCTCAATTTAAGATTCTTGTACTTGCTTACGAATCTCTATATAATGTAACCAACCTACCTATCTTCCTTTATACACAAGTATAAGTAAAATACATTTTGTATGAGGAGATTCTTTCTTTTTTCTTGCATCTCACACATTGTCGTTGCATCCCACAAGTACCTGCCTGCTATTTGTGTTTCCGCAGCCACAAATAGTGACCACAAGTGACTACACGTTTAACACCTTAAGGATGGTGGCAATTGTCTACGTTCTGAACCAAAACAAAACCTTGAATCTTAGCTTTAGGTTTATTCCACCTCTCCAAGTACTCCCATACATATTATGGCAGACCCCTATGCTCTGCCAAAGACCTATGTCAATCATCTGTCCATACTCCCGTCTCTGATGCTCGCCTACAAGACTTTTCTAGGGCTGCACCATTCATGTGGAACTCCCTCCCTTTATCCATTAGACTAATTCTCCATTCCTTTAAAAAAATATTTGAAAACTCACTTCTTCAGAAAAGTGTGTCAAACTGTTAACAGCTTTCCCTCACTGAACCCTGATTCCTCTCCTGCAACTGTCAAAAAAATAATTAAAAAAATAACCCACTAAGCCCTAAGTGAATACTTTTCTAGCAACCTCATTTTCAACCCCCTACTGCTGCCTTTTGTGCTCTAGCATGTTAGCTCATTGAAATCAGAATTATACGATTTCACTAGGCTTATACCATCAAGCCAACTTATAACCAACATTTTGCAACCTGCCCCTGACAAGTAGTTTCCATGCTTTCCCCTATACAACTATTCTCTTAACCTCTTAGTTATGTAGCTCCACACAAAGTGCACCTCATA